GCATAAAATAAGGGCAGTCCAATTGTACGCGCATGTATTCGCGCTGCTGTATTCGTGAATACAACAATAAAAAGCGCTTAAAATCAGGGCAGTCCAGCTGTATACGCATGTATTCACATGTATTCGCGTCATGTATTCATAAATACAGTAACATCAATCACCTTAAAAATAGGTATGTTCAGCTGTCTAAAAGAGATGAAAAACATAAATAGCATATTTCATGCCTCAATAGCAGTGTATACCGTAAATACTTATTTTACTATAAAATATAAAAGGTAGCTATAGAAAATAATATTTTAAAATAATTTTGATTTATAATAAATAGGGTGTATACCTTTGCCATAGGAGGTAAAATTTCCTTTTTATAATCCTAAAACAAACAAATAAGTAGGTTAATGCAACTAATCAAGAGTTCATGTTTTTTGGTTGGTTTTAAGTTAATATATTTTTACATTCCTATGCCATATAGTAAACTATATTACTCTCCATGCTTAATTTTAATATAATTACCTTTTATATATCTAATTACCATTTATGTATATTTTAGGAGTTTAAATGGTATTAATTAGTCTCCTAATTTAACTCTACCGTATATTACCACTCCACCAAGTTTCTCTCTCCAAATCCCACCCCCTCAACCACGTATCAAACCACACCCCACGATTTCCTCTTAAATCACCCACTATTTCCTCTTCTAAAACTAGCGAAATTCGGTAACCCCTCCACCATTAACAACCATTAAAAAGCTTTGAAGCTTTAAATTCGAATTTGGGTTTTCAAAAAACATTGTTTGTTTGGATTGGATGTTGTTGCAAAGAATTGAGAATTCTCTCTACGTCTCGCTCTATCTCTCAATCCCAAATTTCAGTAATATAAAGCAAAGGAAAAGAGAGCAGCGATTCCACCATTGACAACCATTAAAAAACTTTGAAGCTTTGAATTCGAATTTGGATTTTCAAAAATCATTATTTGTTTGGATTGGGTGTTGTTGCAAATAATTGGGAATATGTTTTGGAGTTTATATCTCAATTTTGAGGGGTTTTGGTGAAGATTATACTTGGTTTTGGCTGAATTTCAGATTGAAACTCGAAGAAAAAGAAAAAGAAGAAGAAGAAGAAGAAGAAGAAGAAGAAGAAGAAGAAGAAGAAGAAGAAGAAGAAGACATGACATACATTATATTGCAGAAATTGTAGAAAAATAGTATTATGTTGTTTATTTATTTTTATTTTATTCATTTAACTATTGTATGAAAGTTGAACAACATTGTATAAAAATTATATTTAAGTGGTATTATATTGTAGTTGTATATAACTGAGTAGAAATAATGTATGAAAATTGTAGATAAAATGTATAATATATAATTAGTTGTATGAAATTTGTTTTTACTATGTATAAATCAGATACAAAATATACAAAAGTCATATTGTATAAAATTTGTATTTAAGTTGTATATTATTGTAATTGTATTTAAATGGATAGAATAATATATGAAAGTTATAGATAAATTATATAATATATAATTAATCGCATGAATTTATAAAGTTGTAGGGAAACCACTCCCTAAGAATCCCACCTTAGACACTTTTGTTGGAATTGGTTCTCAAGGAGCTAATGTGGAGCCCTGTAATTAGTTTTTGTAACTTTCCACTCTAACAAAACAGTTAATTGGCTGAACCCTGGAAGTACTTGGGTTACCAATGCAAGTTCTCGTTTTATTTGGACTGATTCTTAGGAAAATTTAAATGGTTGACTTACTAAAAGGGTTTTAAGGTTGGTTAATTAGTGGAGTAGTAGATTAGGATAAATGTATTAATGCCAATGAGGAATACTTTGGTCCATCATGGACATGTGGTTCACTGGGTAAGGTAATTTATTAAATATGAACATTTAGGGTAATATAGTTTATTATATGATATATGAATGTAAAAATCCTTTTTTTAATAGTATATACGTGCATGCTTGATTGTCACGACCCAATTTAAGATCATGACCGGCGCTTAGGAGCAAGTGCCCCCAAGTAAACCTCATTGATATTTTATAGAAAAACGGACAGAGTTTTCCCTATTTTTTGGACTATCCAAAAATAATTCCCGTCGCAAAATCAACAACCAACATTCTAATATCAATCCAACCAACAATACATTTTATCCATTAACCAAAACAAGTCTCAACCATTATAATCCACCCACTAACAACCACGAATACCGATTTATCTCCAAATTCGATAAGAAAATGCAATACTCATCCTATGTCTATAATAATGAAAGGATACTCATGACACTAAAAGAATGACCATGGAGCGACTCTATGAGTTAATAAGAAAAGACGATAACAAATAAATAAACTCTTCGCCCACGCGAACAAGTGCAGGGCTCACCAGGAACTATCAACTCGTATACTCTAATTAACGAAATCCTCGCTCGCATCAACTGCTGTCTCTGTAAAAAAAAAACGGGGAGTGAGTCGTTAGCTCAGTGAGTAATAACACTTAACCACAACCGTTTTTAATTGGGGACAAGTCAGAAAACATGCTTGTATGACAACATTCAGAAGTATCGTAAAAATAAGATGCCCTCTCAAAAACAATAAATATAATCAGTTTATTCATGTACTTCATGTGATAGAAATCAATTTAACCAATCGGTAATAAACTGAGTAAACACTGTCTCATAGCAAATCTTTATGTTTGGGAGGTTTTCAAGAAAGGATCATGTAATTTGTATCACTATGTAGACCTTTTCGTAAAAGGAGTCAAATATAATTGTAGGTCCCTACTCGAGGGAAAACTGTAACTGTATATTAGTTCTACTTTCCCACTAGCGAGAGCTATAACTATAATCGGTAATCTGTAAATATAAGGTGCACCGGGTCTAACGAACCCGCCGTTAACTACGGGATCCTTCAAAGTCTCCTCCCATTTATACTTTTTCTTGTAACCAGTAAATATTCATAAGAAAGTATTTTCAAACTCATAAAGGGCATATCAATTCTTACCAAATCATGTAAATCCATTTCGGTAATGGTAACCATAACAGTAAAACATGTTTAGTAACAGTGAGAACATTTTAAATAACGGTAAACATCTCCAGTAAATTGTTCAGTACCATATCAAGTAAAGGACTTGTCCCACATGCAATTTCAAACATTCGGTAACATATTTTATTTTCAAAATAACATATAAACCATGCAGGTTATGAAAACACAAATTGTGGTAAAATTACTACTCACGGTACTCGTGCAGGAATACGAAACGCGTCACCTCGAGCACTTCGTTCCACTTCTTCAACTGCCTGCTTGTAACAAAATCAATTCACGTATAAACTTCGTGTATTACCAACATAATCAGTCCATCCCTATCACCTTTAATTAATTTTCCTGTCTTCATTCCTTTAAAATATGACCATTGATTTTCTGCTACGCAATTTAGTAGTACTTAATTGAATAGAAACTATAGTTCTTTGTTTATTCTTATATTTTTTTTTTGTTGTTGTTGAAGGATTTCTCCAAATCCCCTTTTCTTCCGTTTTTTTTTTTTCCTTTTTTTTTGTTTTTTTGTTTTTGTTTTTGTTTTTTGTTTTGTCAATTACTTAACTATTCTTATTTTTAAATGTGAGGTATTACATTGATACATGCCATTTTTTAGGGAGGAATTAAAAGAGGCGGACCTAGCTTAGAAGTTACACACCCACGGGTACCCAATAGTTTTTTGTCTATATATATTAAAATTTTTACTAAAATATTATAAATATTTAATTATAAAATTAATTATTATTGTATATTATTTGAGAACCCAAAAATTTAAAATCTTAAATCAGCGTTTGAGTGTTTGATAGGCTTTCTCATTTTGTCTTGGACTGCTTTTATTATTTCAAAATTCCACTCAATGTGGATAATTTTAAAATCTAGATTGAGATTCTCGTGAAAAAAGAAAACGTATGTTGACTAAATTTGAAACTTTATTTGCTAGACAGTAAAATAGAGGTCCCTAATTATTACACTAATGAAGTAAAGTGGGAATCTTAAATTTGAAGTAAAGTTAACTGTAAAAAAATATTTTTCAATTAGCAGATTAACCCTTGCCAGTGCATGTGATAATAGTAATTATGAGAAGATACTTTTGATATTAATTCAAAACTTACTAGATTAGATAGATCAATAATAAAATGACCAGTTCTCATGTCCACCAAAGTAGAAAAAATAAAAATAAATTAAGAATTCCATTCTAAAAATGTAAAATTTCTATTTTTAATAGACTTTCCTTCTTAGTCTTTATATTTTAGACCCCTCAAGCATACCACATTTATGTACGATTCGGGAAAGGATCGCACCCGCATAGACACCTTATTTGAAGCGGTGTCATGGTATCGTCGAATTTTTTTGGTATATCTGTATGTATAAATAAATAAATAAAATTAAAATATTGGGTACACATATAAAAAATGACGCCGCTTGTCGTTATAATAATTTATTTATTTGTTTACTTCTGCAAATATTGACACCTCTTACAATTTTTTTTGCGTACGCCACTGCTCCTAGGGATATGACGTAGATTGTCTATCTTAATACAAGCATTAGTGACTACTTCCATGATTCGGACTCGTCACTTATAGATCACACAAAAATAATTTTACCGTTGCTTCAAGGCTCCCTACACCTCAGCATTGATAAAATAAAATTAAAAAAGGATGCATGGATTTGCAAAAAGTGAGTGGCAACTAATTCTAATAATCTAGTCAAGAACAGTCAAACAAAAGTAACTAACTAAAGGATAATAAAACCCAAAAGCATATAATATAACTATAAAAAGCAACAAAAGAAAAGTATAATAACAGGACAAATATTAAAATTTAAAATAAAACTCAAGAAATAAAAAGGAATCTGAACTCAGCTGGCAAAACCAAATAAGGTTGGCGGCTAATAATACAATCCATACAAAAATATAAATTGTTTTTAAGTTATTGAAAAGGTAAAAATGCTTTGATTTGTCTACAAAGCTAGACAGTTTTTGGTGATGAACACAAAAATATTACTACTAATATAGTATTTTTTTAAAAATAAAAAAAAAGATAGTAGCTTTTCTTTTTCTTTTGTTTTCTTTTCCTGTTTTCATCATTACTGTCTCAGAAATTTGGAACAGTTTTGCTTCTCTTTGATAAGAAAATAGAATTAAAATATGGGAAATCACCAAATCCAAATGATTTTATGATCTGGGGTTCTTGATTCTTCTCCTAGTACTACAGCTACTTGTTCTGTAAGTGAAAATGGAAAATTCTGTGGTTGTTTCTGTTCAAGAAATGCATCAGCCACCTTCAGCTGAATTTGATTCTTCTGCTCATTCTAATCTTGTAAGTCTCTCCTTTTCTTTCTTTTATATTATGCTTCTTATTTACTGTTTATCTTGTTGTTTTTTTCCTCCCCTTTTTGTGAGAGTTGGTGAGTGTGTTTGTGTAAAGAGGGTTGCTAAAGGAATGACAAAGAAGTGATTTTTCTTCTTCTTCTGTTGTGGGGTTTTCTTGAATTTAATGTTTTTTGGTGGTTTGAGGAAGAAAGATGTGACATTTCTGGTAGTGGTGGAAGCTGGAATGTGAAAGGTTTGATTTTTTAAACCTTTCTTATAAGTGAGTTTGAATGTTGATGAATTAGCTGGTTTGAGATTTTTATGGAATTACTTTAGCTAGTTTGGTGCTTCAATTTTTTTTTTTTTTGGGCATTTCTTCCTTTTATGTCCTTGTGCCGAGGGTCTATTGGAAACAAACTCTCTAAATTCACGGTAGGGGTCAGGTCTGCATACTGACTACCCTCCCCAGACCGTGGGATTATACTGGGTTTGGTGTTGTTGTATTTCTTCCTTTTATGAAGTAGAAAAAAATAGGGAAAGAAATAATCGGAGTAATGTATGCCAAGAAGGCCTAGAATCTCATTTTTGCTGACCTATATTAAGATTTTAGTTTTATTTATTCCACTGTTCTTCAGAAGTAAAGGGTCTAGACAAAGTTGCAACGTTTTGCTTTTAAATGAATTTGTCATTAGATAACACCAGTTTGTCAACTCATTATGATCTATGGTTCTCAAACCGCTCGTGGCGGATCAGTTTGTGCTGCAATATAAGTTAAACATGCTGATTATTCCTTGCTTTTGTGGTTGTTGCTTTTGTGTTCTGAATTTTTACTTTTGTGTTAATAGAAAGGAGAGAGAGAGGAAGCCACTTTAGTGCGGCAACAGTCAACAAGACGGCCAAATCTCTCCTCTCTGCAAATACCTACAAGATCTTTGGAAAATGCATTATCCAGTTTTACAAGAATAGATGTTCCAAGTCCTAACTCTGCCCGATCAGGGTTGCCCCCGAGGCCCCACTCTGCTAAGTTCATGTCATCTATGAAGAATCTGATTCCACAGAAGAGCACTAGGACAAAAAATGTAACCCACGATGGCGAAAAGACAGTTCTCATTATCCCAGACACGCCTCTTTCAGATAAGCCTTCAACTTCAAGATCGTTTTCTCTGAATAAAGTTTTGTTCTCTTCGATGACAAGATCAATCCGCTCTTTACCAGAGACGCCAATGGGAACTGTGGTAAAGCCTGCAGCGGACAATCATTTGGATACTCAGTTAGAGTTAATTGTATGTCATATATCCTAATATTTACTTTATTTGGATGCAATTTTTGTGTGTACTCTTTCTTACTTTTTCTTTTTGTACCATTGATATATTTACTGACAGAAACCTGAAGCTCAACAGCATATGAAGCGTTCATTTTCAGTGCCTATACATGTTAAAAGCAGAAGCTTAAGGAGGACAGATACTAGTGGCAGTCTCATCCGTGTCATTTCCAAAACTGTTCGCCCAACTACAGATTCTGATGCCTCAGCAGACATATCACAGGAAACAGAAAATGGTATGCCAAATTTTGTGGCGTACTGGCTCTTATAAATTTTATACTCACTTGTCACTAGCTGCTCCAATTTGCTAATGCTTCATGAGTGTACTTAATAGTGCACATGTGAAAACCTATGTTGATCATTTTCTGGACTAAAAAGGTTCTTGGTACAAGCCTACAACACTAACTGTTTTACATGTATGTCTCTGCCTATTGAGATGTTAACTCTGTATACATGTCTGTCTCTGCCTATTGAGATTTATATCCATTTGTGATTTAGTTCCTCCTGTGGCAAGTTATACTGAAACATCCTTTTATGGTTAGAGCTTCTTTTATTTGCTCACGTTTTACTCCCTCAATCCCAGTTTATATGATGCTCTTTCCATTTTGGTACATGCCAAACTTTTTGACACCAATCCGAAAATATTAGTGTTCTATACAACTTCAAGAATTCAAATTCAATTAACTAAATTTTTAAAATTTTGATGTGATAAGACTAACATTTCAACCGTTCACTTTAATATTTTGTTGCACTACCACTAACATCATACATAAGTCAATATTTTGGTCTCAGTGTCTAGTCAAGGGAGTATCATTTGTAGATCACATTTTCAATTAAAGAGCTCTTTATCTCAACAATTTTGGTAGAAACGATCACGGGTTTAAATTAGTAAGGAATAGAATTGGCTGTGTTAAATTGGAAGTATTCCTTACAAGGATTAAGAATACGGAATGGTGAATGTTTCTTAATTATCGCAATTTACTAATTTCTATTTGGTCGTGTTCACTTTCTTTGGATCTTTGGAGTAGAAAGAATGCTCGAATTGAATAGGATGGTAGATACTTCATCATAGGCAATAGTTAAGAGTAAAGGACATGACTACTGCTGTCTCCTTTCCTTGTTCCAGTACTTCCTATGACATCTTCGCTGATTATCTTTTGGTGACTATAATGGCTTTTTTCCTTTGCTATCTACAGCCACGGATAATAGTGGTGAAGATATTCCTGAGGAAGAGGCTGTTTGCAGAATTTGCTTTGTTGAACTTGGTGAAGAAAGTGAAACATTTAAAATGGAATGCAGCTGCAAAGGAGAGCTTGCACTTGCTCACAAGGAGTGTACCTTGAAGTGGTTTAGTATTAAGGGTAACAAGATTTGTGATGTCTGCAAGCAGGAAGTGCGAAACCTCCCTGTAACATTATTAAAAATTCAAAATCCTCCAACTGCTGCCAGAAGGTCCCAAACTGTTGCACAGCAGAGGGAAGTGCCTCGCTACAGGCAAGTTCAGCTAATAAAGTTTTACTGCTTCCTTTACCTTGGCTTGAATTTATGTGAACTTCAAACTGAAAAGATGATAGATAAGTACCTCTGATCTAGTACTTTGTTAATCACGGCAGATGCTTTCTGTTAGGAAATGTAGCTTCATGCATTTTCTATATGCCTTTGCAATTCAGTCAATAACGGATATGACATAAATATTGGAAGCTTATTCCTTATGTGATAGAGTCACTAGAATCTTCTAATCCTACAACCTTATCAAGTACTGAACTCTTGAACTTATACATCTTGACATATATTATTAGATCTGTTCACAAGTGAATAACATGTTTTCAGATGAGATTATCTAAACATTTGGAAGCTTTTTGATTGTTTACATGACACACTAGAAAGCATATGATCTTTTAATAATAAATCCTTCTCAAATATTGAACTCTTGAATGGCCTGGATCTTGATTAACATTACAAGGTTTCTTCACAAGTGATAAACTTTACTTGCACTTATTTGGTGTCTTGTCAGTTTTATACCATGATAATGCCTAATTGGTGTCCATAGTTTCTCATTTATTTGGTGATACTTGTAACCAGGTTAATCTAAATGTTAACCAATGTCACATGGAAATTGGTTTTGTCACACTTATTTGGGTGTTTCTCTCTTCTTTTGCTATCAACAGAGTCTGGCAAGACGTACCTATCCTTGTCATGGTCAGCATGCTTGCCTACTTTTGCTTTCTGGAGCAGCTTCTGGTACTTTCCTTTTGTTTCTTCATGGTTATATATCTTCCTGAAGGGGAGTCTTGGCGTAACTGGTAAAGTTGCTACCATGTGACCAGGAGGTCACGGGTTCGAGCCGGGGAAACAGCCTCTTGTAGAAATGCAGGGTAAGGCTGCGTACGATAGATCCTTGTGGTCCGTCCCTTCCCCGGACCCCGCGCATAGCAGGAGCTTAGTGCACCTGGCTGCCCTTTTTTATGGTTATATATCTTCCTATGTAAGTTAAAGCGCTAATATAATCCAGTAAATTTCAATTTATTTTCGGCCAAATTGCATACTATTGGTGCGTAGTTTAAGCTGATGCGTTTCTGTCCTATTGTTCCGGAATGTGCATTTTTGTACTTATTTTATAGGATTTGTGCATTTTTTGTCCTAATTTTTTGGTCTGTGCACATAATACAAACTTTCTAAAAGAAATGCTAAAATAGGACTTCCTCTAACGACATTACTTTTTGATGAAAAAATTCATGCACAACTTGTTGATCAGCCATTTGAGAGTTCAAAACCCATAATCTATACATTATATTTGTGTGGATATTTGAGGGTTTTGAAAGATAAAAAGAGATAAATGTTATCGTAAATATTGTTAAAATAAAATGATTATTAGTACTATATTAAAACGTCTTAAATTTGTGTGCATATTAAGGTAAGGGGTAGATGTTGGAGAATTGATGCTTTTTATTACTTCAAGAAATAATATTTGAATGAATATAGGTTTTGAGCATCAAAAAGACTGATAAAGAATCATGTGCAAGGCAGATTACTTTTTCCATCTAAATATTAGGCAGCGCCAAGAGGAAAATCCCATTTTTACACATTTTTAGAATGTTGGATTTTTATGTTTGCATCTGAAAAAGTAGGACAACAAATGTGGAAACTCTATAAGCTAGGTGCCAGAACTACATTTTAAAGTAGGCCAAAAACAGATGACTCTTATAAACTAGGTTATAAGATGCAACTTTAGCTTTATTTTATCACTGGTTCCTTTGTTCAGCTGTCATAACCATCATGACATTCATATTCTACATTCATGTTATCATATTTTAAGAGGTTATGTAACAATTTCGTGTTAAAGCACGAACTTCTCGAAAGCCTAGATGGAACATTGGTATTTTATGTTGTGTGTGTGTCAATAAGTGCAGCTTGGTGCTCATATCATAACTCAGTATGGCCTAAAAAGAATTGGATAGTGAGTCTCTTTCAGTGTTAACTTTGTATTGATATTTAGAACTGTCCAAAAAAATATTTAGGAATCCTATTAAAGGCACAACCATTTCTTTGATCATATTTCATATAGCATTCACATTTCTGTCTGATGTTAGAATATTGTGTTTATCATTTTCTTTTTTTGTATCGTGACAGGTGACTGACTTAGGCGCTCGTGCTCTTGCTATCTCTTTACCTTTCTCTTGTGTTTTAGGTCTCCTTTCTTCTATGATAGCTTCTACAATGGGTATGATTGTTTTCCCTTCTCTATTTCTTCTCATCCGATGTCATCTCTGAAATGATTCCACATATAAAACTTCTACTTCCTGGTCTTTTCTTTTAACTTAATTGAATACTTTCAAATATATTATGGCTAAAGAGACAAAAGGGGCTGTTAATCCACTGCATGTTTGTTGAATTTTGTCTCTTAGATATCAAGATAACTAAGAACTATCAAATCACAATCTATGCAATTTAACCATTTCTTAACTGGAAATGAATTACTGCACTTTATATTATAGGATTTAGTGATTTACACACGACTGTTAAGTAGCCATATATAGTGGAATTTTGATCTTCAGGAAACATGGTTAACGTGTTTGGATAAACAGTTTGTGTCACTAGCCAAGAGCCTGCTTAGGTAAAAGTTTCAATTTTCGCACTTAGCTATCCCATTTTCGCAAAACCTCTCTATTGCAAGGGAAACATCTCTCTTTTGAGGATCAGTCCAAGTGAAAGAAGAAAAGGAAAAAGACTCAAACTGATTATTGTGCTGTAATACATACCTCATCAATAGCCATGAATATAATGAAATTGACCTGACAGACAAAGTAACTGAATGGGCTCTGTCTTTTAAAATTTAGACATGTTTTTATTATTGGCTCATTCCTCAATGTTCTCTACATCATTTTGATGTTTTTTGGGTCGACGTACTTTTGTTGTTAGCTCATTTCTTCACACTCTTTACACATTCCTTTTGATTTTTTTTTCTTGGAGGGATGAATCTTTTTATCAAGAATTATAACAGATTCTTTGGCCATTTGCAGTCAGCAAGAGTTACATATGGGCTTATGCGTCATTTCAGTTTGCAATTGTTATCCTCTTCGCCCATATATTCTATGCAGTGGTAAAAGATCTTTCACTCTTTAATTTCTTGCATTTCTTGGCGCCCTTCTCTCTTATGTATGTTGGCAGCCGGGGTAGGGGGAAGAGGAGGGAGTGAGGTTCCTTGTTTGGACGATAGGTGAAGGCCGCTGTTGCTTTCACCTGCAAAAATAACAGATACATAAAGATTTACATAATTGCTATATGTGCAGCTTAATGTTAGTGCACTTCTATCGGTGCTGCTTTCTTCCTTCACTGGTTTCGGTATTGCAATTAGTACCAACTCGCTCCTTGTAGAGTATTTGAGGTGGAGAGCTAGCAGGCGTCTACGATCATCCCCTGCACAAACAACCAGTGCCATGCAACCACATGTTCTGCCTGATCAAAGATATTATAGCTACATTGACAACACCTCACGCCAACAACGCCATAATAATAGTCAGCAGCAACAACACCAACCATTGCATAATCCTGTTGTTGGACAATTAGAGAATCCGGGGCTGCAAGAGATTAGGATTCAGAGTTCTTAACTCAGACTTCTAATATTTTCACAGCATTGGATAAATAGTTTGAAGTCAAATCAGTATGTGATGCTGACTAATGGTCAAGCATTTTTGTAGCTTGAGGGATTCCTTGCCTTGTGCTGCTACTTGTAGTAGTACCTTGAAAATTCACTTGGTACTTAGCTGCACAAGGAATAGGCCACATAGAAAATGTGCCAGTAAGGGTGGAAAAAATTGCAGAAATGGGATAGTATAGGGGTCTTGTAGCCGTAGGAGTTATTTTATCTTTGGAAGTATTTGGAAACATGGAATTTTGAGTACTTTTGAGATTTTATGAAATACAGAAAGGCTTATGCTTGATTGTCTACAAGTATCGATTCTCTTCTTTTTTTTTCACTTTCTAGAAAGTTAGCCTGGTTTTTATGCTTTTATTCATTCATTTTGCAAATTCATGGCAAATGTGATCAAGGCGAACATCGTTGAATAGATAGACTTACCCTTGGGGAAAATGACACTGTATAGTTGCTCTTAAAATATATTAAAAATGTATATTTTTTGTATATATATATATATATATATATATATATATATATATATATATACACACACACATTCTATATGTTATATACAAAATTATAAAAATTTAATATAATTTTTCGGATATCGAATGTAAATAATTTTTGGCGTGGGCTAAAAGCGATAATAACCCAATAGACTTCCGAATCCCGGGTTGGCGGCTTCCAAATCTATTTAAAGACCCTCCTTGTACTGAAGCATGCTTTATTCGATTCGACTCCATGCTCACTCTATTCTAGTATCAATGGCATCAAGTATTTGGTCAACTACTATCTTTCCAAAACTGATAAAAGGAAGAAATAGGTTTCACTCCAATTTACAAGATCTACCAGACCATCTACTTTCCAGGTACTGCATTAAACAAGACTTGCATAATAAAGCATCACATAGAAGTCCAACTCTCTCAGTTCCAGCAAGTTTTTCAACTAAAATTGAGCAAGAAAACCTGGAAATGTTCATTTCCTTTGAACTACAAACTACATTATGTTACAATGACCAGTAAGTAAATCTTTTCTCAGACTGCTAGAATGGCTTGGATACACCATGGTATATTTGTGTAAAGTGCTATCAAAATTAAAGGATAAAAAGAAAGTCAGAAAAACAAAATACACGGAATAAATTATACACAAGCCTCATTTATCGATCTCCCTTGTTCGCTAAAAGCATAGTGCTCTGGGAATTTGGGATTTCCTCAGCTGAATACTACTCTGTAGGTGCAACATGTCACTAGGTAACCTTAAATTATCGCACAAGACTTCTGCTGTTTTTCTTCATAACTGCTTCAAGGAACCTGTACATCCATTTATCTAGCATGCCTATTATACACAAAACATTAGGCAAATATGTGAGAATGTGTGATCACTGATTAGATTAAAGATTTCCTACTAATTTCACAGTCCAGTTTCTTAACTGCAAGAAACAGCTTTAGGGGAATATCCCTGAAATTCCAAAGAAAAAAAGATCCTAAGAGGAAGCCAAAAGAATCAGGGAAAAATACATTGTCCATACGTAAATCTACGACAGACTTCTCAGGGAAAGTTTAAAAACTTCCCAATATTAGGCCGCTCCCCAAACCTATGACTGTAATAACCCCACATAAAAAAAATCGGTATCTAACTAAACAGATACAATATAAACTCCAAATCATTGGCAGATGCCAGGTCTATGCTATTTCAGCGAAATGCGTGAATGGAGAATTGGAGATAATGTTTGAATGGAGATCCCTCAACTGCAAACATGGGGGGAAAAAAGATTATAGAACACGGGAGAAAATTTCCCAAGAATTGGTTGAGACTCTTAGAAGATGATCTCCCCAGGCAATTAACACTCCATTCTGAATATGCAAGAAAGAAATAAGAATAAAGAAGTCTAAAGTATCATATTTCCTGGTACCAAAATACTTGTAAGCATTTTCCACACACCAGAGTAAATGATTAACAATCTTCCCACACAACAAAATGCAGAGCATTAAGTTCAACCTTCAAATGCCAAGAATGTATGTGCAAAAAGAAGAGTAGAATAATAGCAGGGACTTCTGGCTTATAAGAGAATGTTTAACTTCAAAAAATCCTACAGGCTACAGTTAAGTGTTGGAGGCAAACCTGTCAAGGCAAATGTACCACCCAGAACTGCACAGAGCCGAGTAATAAAGTGCAGAAAACTGCGACGTTCTTCTCTGATGGTCACAGTGATTGGTGATAAATCATATAAGAAATATACAGCTGCATTAATTGAGAAAGACAATAAGCAAAAAAGTACAACAAGAGAAAAAGAGAAAAGGCAACAATTGATAGAAAGAACTTGTCTGTTGAGTATTTAAGACTTAAGAGATGCACCTGGCCATGTCCGATCAAACTCATTGATGGGAGAAAAGTATTCCGTTACAGAGAACTGATTAGTTGGCAAAACTTCTTTTGATAAATACCTGTATTCAGTGGGAACAATCTACAAGACAAAAACCAGAACTTCAAAATGCAGAATAGCAAAACAACAGAACATTAGCTTCAAAGAAAAACTTGGTATGAGATCCGCACAACTTAACTAGACCATACATTTCAGCTAAATGTTAATTACTCACCATAAATCCATGGAAATTTCTCAAACTTTATGGTATACTTAAAAGATAATTTGGCTACGGATAGTGGCAGGTACCAGGAACAGAAATTACTCCAGTTATAGAACTGCATATTTATAAAATTGCTCCTTCGGTCCAAATGCAGGTGTCAAATTTAGTTTCGACTCGACTACTAAGGTTACAGTTGGAAATTTATCATATTTAAATTAAAGTGGGTCCAAAAGTGAAGATAAAGTTGACTTTCAAAAAAATTGAATATTGTTAAGAGTGAAAATAGGTCTCATATTAACTTTTTTTATACTAAAGTAAGTAAAAATTTCAAGTGGATACGATCTTGAGACAACCTAAAAATGGAAGTAGGACAGGACAGACGACACAGATGAAAATATATGTTGTTAAACGATCATTTTTTTAGCTAAATATATACGCTGTTGACAATCATGGCCTGATGCAGAAAAAATAGTCTCCTCACTTTCAGTTCAAAGTGGATATGAAGATCATGCACTGCAGTGCATGTCTCCACGAACCGCATTCACCCATTTAGTGCAGCTGTTAGGCAGCTCAAAAGCTAATTAAGTTGTTCTGGGACTATAATTACAAAAAANTATGATCTGTATAAACAATCAATTGCACAAAAGTGGAGCTCCGCATTACAACGGAAAAGGTACCTAAATTCAGCGCATATCTACTTTTCACAACGATTCCAGAAAGACTAGTGATAAAAAGTTAAAACAAAATACTAAAAAACATTAATAGAAAATAACTAAAGCGAGCAGTTATACAATTCATTTCATCAGTTCGAGAAAGATGTATGGCTATGTCCAAATACTGTAGGCAACATATTCAAACTAAACATCAAATAAATGTCTATAATCTCAAACGAGGGCTACAACTCAAACCTTAATGTAATATTTGAATGTTCCACTTGCCCCACGCAGAATTCGTTCTGTTCCATCAAGCGGGTTGTGAATACCTGGATATTTGGGCCCAAATGATAAGTCATGGATGATATGGCTCACATTCACATGAGTAGAACCTCCAAAAATCTGCAGTGGTTAAAAACAGATACAAACAGGAGTAAGCGAAAAAAAAGAAACAGGACAAATCTGATTTATATAAGAACTTCCAATAAACTAATTCCTAAAGGTCATTATTTTCAAGTCTATTTTAATTTTAGCATCTTCCAACTAGAAACCTCCAAAGATCGCTGTTTCATACATAAATAGAAAAGAAAGATAAATGGAGACGTCAATGTCTTTTAACAGGTTGATTATCATTGTAAAAATCACTCCATAAAAGAACATAGAATCCACGAGAGCTAACCATTTGAGCAACAAAAATATTCAACCCATGAACAGATATATGGAAATTTCCGGCAACACGTTGGACATCCAAAACACCATAGACCTGCAATAAACAATAAATTACCATTGCTTTTTTAGTCCAAGTGGTATGACGGTATGAATCTCCAAACCTTTTTCCTAATCTTATTTCTGAGGCATAAAGGAGAAAGAGAGAAGAATAACAAATAAAATAATAAGCTAAAAATGAAAGAGGCACATACTCCGCATCCCTCCCCATTAGCCAATGCTTGCTTAACCTTCTTAATCATATTTTCAGCATCTTGATCGAACCCTTGCAGATGGGTTTTGTTATCTGAATCTTCATGATGGTCTTTGTGGTCATCTGGTTAAAGTTGTCATTTAAAACCATGTTATTAAACATATAATATATTTTTATCCAACAAAAAGCATAATTAAAGTTCACTAATGTGAGGAAGAAAAAGTTTATACGAGAGTCAGAGCAGAAAAGGAAGACATTACCATGTTTATGTTCCTTTTCCACAAGGTCTGACAAATACTCAGTTCCAGTAATATGCCCATCTCTGTTCAAGCGAAGCTGCAAAAACTCTCAACCATTAAGCAAAGGCTATGAGCCTTTTATTTTATTTTTAAATTTTAATAATATTTTATATATATTGTTTTCAAATTTTACCAAAATAGAAACAAAAAAAAACTTAATAAGTATTTCATGAAAAATATTAAAATCATTTCTCTATTTAAATTATACTTATTGTAAAATGAAGCTTAATACTGTCTTTTCTCGTAATTTGACACCCAAAACCGCTTTTTGGAAAGATTGGCCAAACACAATCTATTTATCAAAAAGTTTAAAAAAAAAAAAACTTTTCAAATGAGTTGGCCAAACACAAACTACTTCTCTCCAAAAGTACTACTCAGAAAAGCAATTTTGACAAAAGTACTTCTCAAATGAATTCAGCAGTTTTTAGAAGCTTCGCCAATCATGCTCTAACTACTGTAGGATCAATGTATCTTCAGCCTAGCATAAAAGCATGGTACCTGTAGTACTGCAAGTTGTAACTTATAACTATAAAAACTAAACAAATACAGATCAATGACGGGTTAGTAGGATTGGCTACATGAATCCTCTGCAACTATTTCACATTTAGGTCCATTTCATTCAAATACTAAGTATTTATCTTTTAATGCTAATTAGGGGTTCACAAAAGCTAGAGGTTTTCTAAATCTCACAGCTAATCCTAAACAGACATACAAGTCTCTAACCAGGAAAAAAAGATTTCTCACAAACATCGGATTGTCATAAACAAAAACAACTAGGCCTTAATCCAAATCATTGTTATTGCCAACTGTTTTCACTTTTCAGTGCATCTTGTAACCATAAACACTAAACTATTTTTA